AAATAATTTTAAAAAATTTAAAAGGGTAAACCGGTTTTTTTTTTTTTTTTTTTACTTAAGGTTCTTAAAATCAATCCTTGATAAAAATCTCTAAAACAGAATCTGAATCTTTATTTATGAATTTAATTTAATTTAATAATTTTTTAAAGGGCAAATGAAACAATTTACTGCTTAAAACTACTCCAGTGGAATGGGGGATCTTCATCTGAAAAAAAAACTGTTTTGGGTGTAAATGATCTGGTCCCAGCGAATATTGAGGTGGAATTTGTTTTCGTGTTATAATGTAGCTATACTGTTTTAAAAGTGTAGTTTTTACAGTAGCTTCCCCAAAACTGCTTTTTAAATAGTAGTCTGTACAAAACATGATTTTGCCTACAAGGTTTTCTATAGATTTCTGGTACTGGTCGATGTCTCGTAGAGTCTCGATGTCCCTCTTCACCTCGTTGACATACTGAGCCAGATCCTGTAGAGATTGGAAACACAAACACAATGCCATAACATTCAACACCCTGAGACTTTGACCTGAGGACACACAAGGAAGTCTTTCTAGTTTTGCGCTAAAAATAACAATACTTCCTCTCTAGTTTCCTTATTGAAAATCTCGGCCCATGTGATGTTTTCAAGGGACTCATTTCCGTCTAAAAATGTAAAATAAGATTTAGCGTCTGAAAAGCAAGGCTTATTTGACAAATCTCATTCTGAACAATGTGCCCGCCGTTCCCGAGTTTAGCGACTCATTCATCATCACGTATCTAGAATAATCAGAGAGTGGGGGGGCTGGATCGCCCACCGTGAGGATCTTTAAAGGGGAGCACTTGAGGAGGTTAACTGCGTTAGCCCGATACCCCAATCAATGCTAAGTGGATAATTTATCCAAATGAAATCATCACAGCCCTCGGTGCAATCTGCACAATCTTCTCAGCTTGATTTGCCTCAATTAGCGGATGGTTACCTGTCAAGATGCATTCGGCACCATCTTGATCATGTCTGCGTCAAGAGGGCCACATTGATTTTCAACGAAAGCTTTTTTTACGAAAAAGTTGATGCATGCACATCCCAAAAAAAAAACTAAAAGAGAAAGAAATTGGTCACTGTTGTAATTTCAAATTGAACAAGGCCTCTAATATTAATCAAGATTGGTGATTAAAAGGCCTGTGATGACCTTAGATTTGGCCCGCGATGGCCTGCCACGAGAGGAATAAAAAAATAGGGGAAAAAACATGCCATTGAAGCATATCTTAAGTTCTTATTTATATTTTTGTTTTAACATGTCTTTTTGTTTTATTTTTGCACTGAAATATAAATTAAATATACAAATATAAAATGTAAAAAAAAAAATCATATACACAGTCAAACAATCCGTCCAAAACAGAGCTAATATAAAGGAAACCAGGCTCATTACATCAGAGATTGCAGAGAGAATGGAGACTCGCGTTGTGTTTTCAGTGAATTATTCATTCCAGTGTGTTTCGCTTTTAAAC